ATGGGGTAGCTGAGTGGCACGTTGGTTAGTAGTTGGCTTGGGACACCAGCTCTGAGCAGCAGGGCCCCGGTTTGAATTCCACATTAGGGAAAGTGACGCTGTGCCCTCTACAGTTAAGATGGTGAATAACAGCTCGACCTGGAATTGGGCTGCTGTGAGTTACCGGCGATGGCGTAGCCTGCAGTGGAGCTCTAGTAGGCTCCTATAAACTACCATGAGCAGCTGGCAGCCAGCATGAGCTGCCAAGAGCCACCGTGAGTGACTGTCCAGAGGCCGGCAATCGATCTGCCTCACCCAGGAAGAGTGCAATGATAATACCAACATGGGCCAGTGAAGCGATGTCCTCCACAACGAGACTGAAGAATAAAAAACAGCAACTTGTCTATTCCCCTTCCCCAATTCCCCAATACTGTGCCCCTCCCCCAATTGCCCAATAAAATCTTTAAAAAAAAAAAAGAATCTCTTGTTAACCACTGCTGCATAACAAGTTGTCCCAAATGTTAGTGGCTTAAACCAGCAAAATATACTTCCCCACAAAGTTTCTGAGGGTCAACAATCAGGAGCTGCTTGGCTGGGTGATTCTGGCTCAGGGCCGCCCATAAAATTACACTCCAGTTGTTGGTCAAGGTAACAGCCATCTGAAGAGGCTGGAGAATCTGCTTCCAAGATCACTCACAGTGCTGTTGGGGGGGGGGGCTTCTGTTTCCCACAGGTGGGTCTTTCCACAGAGCTACTCACACAACATGGGAGCTGGCTTACCCTAAATCAATTGATCTGAGAAAATGAGAGAGAGAGAAAGCTCAAGAGAGAAGCCACAGTTGATTTTGCGTGTGTGTGTGTGAGTGAGTGTGTTTCTTGAAAGTGCCATCATATCACTTCTGCCATATTCTGTTCTTTATAAGAGTCAGTAACTCCAGCCCACAGTCAAGGGGAAGGGAATTCCACTTCATTTCTTAAGGGAAGGAATATCAAATGATTGGAGGACATATTTTAAAAATCGTACCTATGAACACTGTTTTTCTAAGACACAGTAAATAACAAGTATACTTCAACTCTACTTCACCCCATCCTTCTACAATGTGTCCCAATGTCCCCTTTCAGTTACACATAGTAGGGCTTTACTTTAATCTTGTGTCCTTGGTAATTGTCCACCAGTATGCTCCAGCCTCACCTTAGAAAACACCTAAAAAGAAGATGCTTTGAAATTTCTAATTTCAATGGTGAGAACATGGGAAGGGTATAAGGCAATATTTTGGTACTAAGATGGTTATGATTTTGAAATCTGTAATTGGAATATCAAATAGTGGTATTTTATTGCATGACAACAATAAAATAATATAAATCTGAATTCACATAATTAGAGGTTTTGTGTGTCATAATATATGCCTTATAACATTTAGTATTAAATCCAGTTTTTTATGTGATACATATGCGTTAGTAATTGTCATGAATTTATACAGGTGATCAAAATAACTTGGACTAAAAACAGAATCCATGTAATTTAGTGTATTAAAACAGGAAATGGAGGATCTTTCATATTTCAAAGTGACAACAGTAATTTGCACTGCTTTACTGTCAAAGAATATCAAGCTTTAAAATCCTAAAAAATGTCATGGGAGCCTAATCAAATTTAATCATAACATATTTTTACCAGATGTATAAACATATACTGTATGCAGTGCTAACAAACATGCATTGTATGCAATGCTCAATATTGGTGCAAAATCACCAACTCTCTATAGATTTCAATACACTATGTCAAAATGGACATGGATTGATTTTTCTCTTCGTGAATAGGTACACAGTGATTATTCTCTCAAAAGAAGTATCAATGAATTCCTTCTTTGGACTTCCTTCAACAAAGAACTCACAAAACAAGTACTAGAGCCAAGCTTAGCAAGTCTACTACAAATTCAGACAGGTCAGAAAACTCTTCCAGTTCCTTTTCATCATTTTAAATGGCTCAGAGTACACACCAGCTGCTTTCCTGATACAGCTGAATATCCTAACTTCCTCTTTCACATAATAAAATTGAGGGCAATGGAATTGAGAATATTTTTCCCAAAATGACTCTTTTCCAGTTCTAATATGCTCCTCCTCAGTTCTATGAGAATGTAACCATTTTCTTACAAAATTCTTGCAATATTTGTTTGGGGCTAAGTAGCAGCCCAATTCTTCTGTCAATGGCTCTAAATCCCATTCTTACTTCTAAGTACATGACAAGTCCTTGAAATGCCCTTGCAGTTTTCCCATCCAGTGTTTTTGTGTCCTTCACTCTCCCTTTTTGTTTCTCTACTACTGCCTTTCTCATTCCACCTCACCGTCCCTAAAATCTGAATCAGAGGACAGGGATGTAATCATTTCAGGGATAAATGAATACATTTCAGGAATGTAATTGTTGGAGTGTTTCATTCCAGAGATACTGGACTAATTGAGATTGAAGAGATCAAAAACCATACCAGTTACTTTGGTTTTCCAACCTAAATTCTGCCTTCTCTTGAAGGACTTTACCACTCAAAACTTAACTCTCTCTTTTTCTTTAATTTTTTCTTTACATATTTTTGTGTTCCTTCCATTATGTGGTCTATTTTTCTCTTCTCTCATTATTTACTAAGTTCCCGAAAGTCTTATTCACTTCTTAACTTTTGCCACAAAAATTTTACCAGTTTGCTATTGAGTTAATTTTAATAAGTATTAATTGAGTGATCATTGTCTGCTACCATCTTATAATTAGGCTTTTATTATAATCACTTTCCCAAAATAGTTGTCATCATGGCTAACTCTTAGATTAAATCAACTGTCCTTCCCAGCATCTTAAATATTTTCTCTACATATTATTGTTGATCATCTTTTGTCTTTAATACACATATATATGTGTGTATATAGGCCTTTTATTGGATGCAGATTCTTTTCTCCTTAAGAATTCCTTTAGTTTTTACCTTTCCTGGTTCTTTTTTCCAGGAGCCTATTAGCTATCAATTTTCCCAAGAAACTCTTGAGATATTACTCTTACTTAGTTGATACTTAAGGAACTTCTCTACTAAAGTAACTTCATTAACCTTTGAATATGGACTAATTTAAGGCCTCTATGGCTAACTCAAGCTGGAATGCAGAAAACTGAATACATAAGACTTACTGTATACAGGTGCTTCTCCTCATTTAAGATGTGAATGTGGGCAACACTACTATTCGGTTGGTTGATGAGCTCCCCCCGTATTACCTTCTACACATTGAAGAGCTTCCACTTGAAAATATTATCTTTATTCCAAGGAATTCCTCTAAAACTCACCTTCCTCTTATTTGCCTGTTGTCATATCTGTGGGTACCATAGTAACAGTATAATACATAGACTAAAGTATTCTAATATCTTAATGAGTATATCACAATAAAGCATAAGCTTCCATTGGCTGTCAGAGTTGGCAGACAAAATATTTTAATAATATATTAAAATTATTAAAATATTTTATCTAAATATATATTAAAATAGTACAGAAATAAAATTAATATTGCCAAATTTTCTCTTCAAAAAGTGATGTTACTCTTTAATTCAATGGCCTAAATAATATATAAAGTGCCCATAAATAATTCCAGGTAATATATTTCAGCATTTAGCAAGCTGAAATAGCTATAGTTTTCAATGTTATATTTTCTTCCTAAGTTAACCAATTAACCAAAAATAGAGGTTGATTTTTCTGTGGATTTACATTAATAGCTATGTGTTGCTTATTACAATGCATAATGAACAATAAACAATTCACATGCAATACCAGATAAGTACTTTAAAGTTGTTATTTTTCAGTAAACTCTTACTGAAATATACATACAGAAAAGTTCACAAGTTATATATGCACTGTTTGATGAAGTTTTGCAAAGGATCCCTTACATGTAACCAGTACCCAGATCAGTAAATAGGACACAAAATAGCTATATTTTGCAACATGTTTTATTCTGTTATGAAGAAATATTTGATATGAAATTTTTGGTGTTTATTTTTTCATTCTATAAAATATGCTAAAAAGAACTCAACATAAGCAATTATCCACATTATCAAAATCCAAAAGAGGTTTCAGTGATGGAATATATTATATGTAAATTCTTTAATATGGATTTTTACTATTAATTTGCATGAAGTTTATTTATTTGAAAATCACTCAATTATAAAAATTCTGCATGGTGTAACTATACTAACTGTTGAAGAACAAATGTGCATTGTCTTGGTAAAACTTCTATTGTGTTTTTCTTTGTTTGGTTGGTTTTATATTAAACGTCTAAAAGGTATAGGATGCCTTATAGGAGAAGTCCTTCGTTTTCTGCATAGAGTCAGTATTAAACATGTCACTACTGAACATTGCATCCACTGTACTTCAGTGCAGTGAGATGTCTCCATGTCACATAGTCAGAGGGAGGTGGATTAATAGGAGTTCTAGCTGGAAATTTCTTCCCTGTTATTGTTCTCCCCCAGCAGTTGATGGCTAAGTTAATTCTCTTTAGTTTTGTCATGCTCTAAAGCACACATTGCCAAGCAATGGTAAGCTTTATGAGGAAAAAAGAAGCAATGGTGTCCATCAACGTCTTAAAGTTGCATTTTTAAACTTTGGCTTGATCTGATGTGCCATTCAAAAAAGCTTTAAAAGATTATTTTTTTAAAGAAAGGTTCAATATGTCCCGAGGCTATCGGTTTTGAGTTAAACTGGGTGAAGTAGAAATATTTTACTCATCAGCTTTGCAGTCACAGAGTTTGCCTCAGCTAGAACAAAACTGCTGAGGCATTTAGAGAAAATTAACCCCCCATCCTGGCGGCCAGATGTGACTGGTTTCTAATGAATGCACATGAGTGGGCTGAAAAATCAGGAGACTGTGAAATTCCTGGCAGGTCCGTACAGTGCAGAATGGGCTATTGACTGCTTTCTATATTTCCCTCCATCATTCTTCTTGAACACTGCCATTAATTTTCTCTCCTACTCTGACTTGTGTTTTGCCTCCCTCCCTCATTCCTTTAGCTCTGCCAGCTGCAAAGAAGGATACACAAGGTGTGGCGGAAGTGCTTCAAACTGGTGGTCCTCTACAGCCAGATGAGGCTGGCCAGCTTCCAGGCAGACTCTCAAGAGAGCATTCAGAAAATATTAGCTGTGCAGGTAGGTGATTGCAGGGAAGTAGGCAAGATCATTCTGATCTAGATTGAAAAGCAAATGATGGGTAGTGTGATGAAGCATTAAAACCATATCCCATCAGAGTTTTATAAATTTTTAACCTCTTTAATAAACTGGAATTGCATGAAGGATGAATTCAGTAAGTTAGCATACATACCATTCATACTTTGGGGGAAAAAGAGATTATTGATCTTATTACTCACAAACCTCGGAATGGATTTTTATAAATACATTTGGTATAAATATATATTTTCAAATCTTCAGGCTTTGCAGTTGCTGTTTGGCTGTTTCAAAAAATAATGTCAACAGTTGCCTCGTGTTGCTTTTGTGTGAAATCTACTGCAGTGAGAATCACACTCTTCTGTTCATTTTTTTAACCCTTTTCTTTCCCCTTCTGTTTTGCAAGAGTCTCAGCCCCCTAAGCAGATTTGGAGATTACTTTATTTTTAAAATAAGCAATTTTGGATTAGAATATAACTACGTGTCCAAGAGCATGTGAAATTTTACTATTTGTTCCAGTAAAAACTTTCAGTGAATCAATTGTCTTTATTTTAAGACTTTGATCTATTCACATCTAATGATTTTGTTCTATTCCTTTAAACAAACAAAAAAATACTTGATCTATTTTAGAAACCCATGTGAAAACTATTATATTAAAATTACTTAAATCTTTTCAAATTAATATCTTACTATTTGAAATGTGATAATATTATAAAACATGACCTCCTAAAGGAAAACACACACCACCTTGTTATATTAAAAAGCAAAAACTAGAAGTATCTGTTGCATATATTGTATATAAAAGAAAATGACATGTTAACACCATAATTTTCATTAATTTGCAGCATAAACAATGCATGCTGAACCTAAGCAAACCAATTCTTTTTCTAAATATTTTAATTTCATGCACACTTTATGACACTTTCACCACAATTTTGTAAAGCACTTTCAAAGTTCTTTCAAATTTCATTTTCAGTGGCTATTTTTGCTATTTTCTTCTTTAGACTATATATATATATTGGGGGTGCCAAAAGATGTATACACATGGACACTTTGGTCAACGTTGCTCAAGCAGTAGTTCGCTATAAACAGAAGTGTCTAGACACTGGTGGTAACCACTTTGAGCACCTCTTGTAATTGCAGAAGTCAAATGTGACTTGTATTCACCTTTTGTTATCGGTATAGATTTTTACAATTTTAATAGTTTTTTCATTTCTTAAAATGTGTATACATTTTTTGGCACCCTCTGTATGTATATCCCATACACACACACACACACACACACACACGCACTATGTGCGTGTGTGTGTGCGCGTGTACTTCATATAAGGGTTCTATGGATAATTGGTTGTAACAAAACATTTGAAATAATAGGAGAAATTTAAAGTTTTGAAAAGTTAGTGCTTAGAATGTATAGGTTTAATAGAAATTTATGTATAAATAAGTATAACCTACAATTGCAGTATTTTAGAAGTCAAGAACATGTTTTTTTGGTTCTTAAAAATGTCTGATATCATATAGTACATTAAAAATTATGAGCCAGTTATAACCTGTGATTTTATTTGCAATACAGAGGGTGCCAAAAAATATATACAGATTTGAAGAATGGAAAAAATGTATTAAAATTATAATACTCAATGTATACTGATAACAAAAGATGAACACAAGTCATGTGTATACATTTTCTTAGCACCCCCAGTATTCAAAGGTAACCTGTGTGTTCTAATAATTGTATTAGAAAAATTTCATATTTCTGCCAAAATGTAAACTTTCTTGAAAATCTTACAAATGATTAATTCTCATTGTGAATGAGGGTGTATTTTGAAATATTAAAATGTCAGTAGAAACTATTAAGTTGTAAGGAAAGTCATGATGAATTTTTCTATGTTTTTCAGTGCAAAAATGCATCATGACTTTCTTGATGACCCAATATTTGAATATTGGTAAAGTGAATGAATTCTCAATCCATAGCCTTCAATAATCTTTATTCTGTTTTTTTTTCATTAGAAACTCACCAATAACTTCTTTACCAAACTTGATTTTTAAGTTACTTATTTTTATGGCTATTATATACAGTGGAAATGAAGGGATAGAAATGATAAGATAGTATCAATAGGAAGTCAGCATCTAGAGACAGCAGCAATCCTGGTTTGTATTTGGGGGAACTTGAGGAGCATAACTCAATAAGATAAGATTCTTTTCTTATCTAGTGGAGATATCTTCAAGTTAGAATATTTTGGCTTTTAATAAAAAAGTGAAAAAATTTTTAGGATCTTGCCAGAAAACTATAGAAACATGTGCAATCCTCTGAAAACAAATCAAGTCCTAAGCTTCAGCATGGTACCTGAACCTGCTGTGCTCTGTACGTAACCACCACACTGTGGTTGTATTTTAGCAGCTCACTCTTCCTACTTACTGCTGTTCTTATCTTCCTAGAAAATTCTAAGCTCCTCCTGGGCTTGTTTTTTAGGGTGTATGGTAGCAAGCCCACTAAGGGAATCTGAAAGTAGCCCATGCCTATCTTGTTTTTACTTATTATATCCAATTAAAAAAATAAAAACATGGTAGAGTGATTTAATATGTTTGCAGGGTGAGTCTGCAGATGTCATTCTCTACAGTTTGACTCAACGTGGCTAAAAATTGCCTAACAGAGCAGATGCTATTGCACTCTTCTTTCATATCGTTTAGCAGCATGTCAATATTGGGGAATTGTTTAATGCTATTTAATATTCAATGCCTCTTTGGCATCTTATTTGGAAAAAAAACCTGGACATTAACACATCATTTAAATGAGAGAATGTGATGCAGCTAACTATACCATGCTAATGTGATCTTAGACTGCGTAAGCACACTTATTTTGTCTGGTTAAAGGAGATGATAGTTTTGTTGTACTTTTTCAAAGGTTGAGCCCATCTATAGTATTTTATACAGGTTTGGAAAGCATAGCTGAAGGGCCATATTGATATATTAGAGAGCAGCAATATAAGAAAGATCAGGGAGAGGGAGAAATATACATTTAGAATACTTATTTGCAAAGGGAAAAGACTTTGGAAGGACAAACATCTAAAGCAGCAGTTCTCAACCTGTGTCTTACGACCCCTTTGGGGGTTGAATGACCCTTTCACAGGGGTCGCCGGGTACTCGTATGTGGGCGTATCTGCATGTGGGCCTGGAGACAGATAGAGGAGCGGTGTCTCGGTTCCTAAGACCATTGAAAATATGTATTTTCCGATGGTCTTAGGCGACCCCTGTGAAAGGTTGAGAACTGCTGAAAAGGATAGATAAGTAAAGGACCACGTATACATACGAAGTTGAATAATTAAGTTCACGAACATGTTACAACAATAGTGCTAACTTTTTTTAATTAAAGTTTATTGGGGTGACAATGGTTAGCAAAGTTACATAGATTTCAGGTGTTATAATTCTGTAATATGTCATCTATATATCACACTGTGTGTTCACCATAGTGTCAATTCTCTTTCCATCACCATATATTTGATCCCCTTTACCTTAATCTACTACTCCCCTCCCTCCTTACCCTTGGTAACTACTAAACTATTTTCTGTGTCTGAGTTTTGTTTCTTCATTTGTTATGCTTATTCTTTTGTTATTTTCAGTTTTATATACCACATATCAGTGAAATCGTATGGTTTTCCACTTCTGTCTGAATTATTTTGCTTAGCATTATAATCTCAAGATCCATCCATGTTGTTGCAAATGGCATTATTTCATCTTTTCTTATGGCAGAATAGCATTCCATTGTATATATATACCACACCTTCTTTATCCAATCATCTATCAAAGGACATTTTGGTTGTTTCCATGTCTTGACCACCATAAATAAAGCTGCAATGAACGTCGGAGTACATATATCTTTACCAATAAATGTTTTCAGATTTTTTGGGTAGATACCCAAGAGATTGCTGGGTCACATGGTAATTCTATTTTTAATTTTTGAGAAATTTGCACATTGCCTTCCATAGCAGCTGCATCAATCTGCATTCCCACCAACAGTTTTTGAGGGTTCCTTTTTCTCCACAGCCTCTCCAACACTTGCTATTATTTGTCTTGTTGATGATGGCCATTCTAACTGGTGTGAGGTGATATCTCATTTTGATATCAGAGGGATTATTCATTATGAATTTGTACCAACTGGACAAACAATTAACCAAGTTTACTATTTGGAAGTGCAGAAAAGGCTGCATGAAAAATGTAGACGACCTGAACTTTTCTCCAACAATTCATGGATCTTTCATCACGACAAGGCACCAGCTCACACGGCACTGTCTGTGAGGAAGTTTTTAGCCAGTAAACAAATATCTGTATTGGAACACCCTCCCTACTCACCTGATCTGGCCCCCAATGACTTCTTTCTTTACCTGAAGATAAAGGAAATATTGAAAGGAAGACATTTTGATGACATTCAGCACATCAAGGGTAATAAGATGACAGCTCTGATGGTCATTCCAGAAAAAGAGTTCCAAAATTGCTTTGAAGGATGGGCTAGGTGCTGGCATTGGTGCATAGCTTCCCAAGGGGAGTACTTCGAAGGTGACCATAGTGATTCAGCAATGAGGTATGTAGCACTTTTTTAGGATGAGTTCATGAACTTAATTGTCAGACCTCATACATTGTTAAACTCTAGAGGGCAATACCTGCACCAGTGATAGATGAGTTTGGAAGGTGCCTTTGGGCTCAATAGGAATACATATTCTAACAAGTACTGCCGTCCAATCATGCACTGCTGATGCTCATGAGAAGTTACTGCAATGGTTGAAGGACAGCAAATCATCGAAGAGCCCAGAGAGCACCTCCTCAAGCCGCAGCCCTCTTACAATGTTCCCCGACCTCCTCGCACAAACATTTTTGGATGTGTCTCTGTCTCCTCACCTAGTAGAATGTGAGCCTTCTCAGTTGAAAAGCACGTCTTATTTGTTTATCTTTATCTCCCTGGCACTAACTATAGTTCTCAAAACATAAGTACT